GGCGGGAGGAGGGAGAGGGCGGGGGCCGGCGGACGGCGTCCGCGCGGCGCTCCGGGGCAGGATCTGGTGGCACCTGCGCGCCCCGGGGTTGTGCAGCTGCAGGCGGTGCCGCGCCCGGCGCCAGGTGTGCAGGGTCCTCGCGGGAAGGGAAACGCCCCGCACCTGTTTGCTCGACGGCGGAGAGCGGTTGGCACCCCGGACTTCCCTGGGCTAGCCGGGGGCTCCCCGGGGCCGTTGTGCCTGCCCCCCCGCGCCCCCCGGGCAGAGTCTGGGGACCTGCTGGCGGTCGTGCTGGGGGAGGGGGAGGGGCGCCCGGAACAGCCCCCCGGAGCCGAGGGCGGGCCCCGAGTGACACCGTGGCGTTGGGATTGCGGTGGCACCAGGGTCCGCTCCGCTTATGCGCGGACCGCCCGGCAGGGGTGAGGAAGCCGCTGTGCCCGGGCCCAGCCCCAAGCGCTCCGGTCTCGCCCCTCCTTGGGGTGCATTTCGGGGTCTCTGCGAGGAAGCCCTCGTGGGCCTCATCGGCCCTCCCCGGGGAGGAAGGACGAGTTTCTGTGGTTGGAACGTTGGGACGGAAAATCCTGAGCCTCCTGCCCCGGGCCCGGGTGAAGGAGGGGGCGGAAGGGGCCAGCGGCAGGCACCCTCGTGGGCAGGAGGGCGGGAGGGACTTGGGTGGGGGCCCGGGCCTGCACCTGCACCCATTGCCCTGAGCCACGGGGGAAAGTCCCAAGAGCACGGTCGGGATGTGGGGCGGTGTGGGGCACAGGGTGGCAGATGCGTCCCGGCCGGGGAGCTCCCAGGAGCCCTGCCTCAGTGGGGCTCTGGTGTTGGTGAGCGTCCAGGGGCGGCCTGACTTCCTCTCTCAGGTTCTGGAGGCCCCAAGTGTGACACCAGGGGTCAGCAGGGCCCTGCTCCCTCCCGAGGCTCCAGGGGAGGGATGCTCCTGACCCTTCCAGCTTCTGAGGGTCCCCCTCAACCCTCCGTGTCCCTTGGCTTGCCGCTGTGTTACTCGTGTCTCGTCCACCGTCACGTGGCCTTCTCCCTGTGTCCGCGTCTCTTTCGAGGACACCACCGTATCGCGTCTGGGCCCACCCTCCTCCATTGCGACTTGGTCACATCTGCAGATTTCCTGTTTGCAGAGAAGGTCACCTTTACCGGTACCGGAGGGGCAGGGCTTGAACGTGCCGTTTAGAGGACCTGACTGAGCGCAGGGCAGTCCTCAGCAGCAGGTGTTTGCCGGGTGCAGCTCGGGTGTCCTTCCAGAGACACATCTGATGCCCTGGGGGGTGGCCCGGCCCAGCCCTCCGCCCCGCATAGCTCGGACCACGCACACCCCGTGAGTCATAGCCAGCTCTCGGGCGAATTCGGCTGCATATACTCTCCGGCTCCCCTCCTAGATTTTCAAGTTTTTTTTTCCTATTTGATCTCAGTTTTGTTTCATGAATGGTTTGTAAAAGAAGTAGGTGTTACAGATCATGTCTTCCTTGATAATTTAAACAGTTACAGGTCCTTCCTGGAGTTAGCCATGCTACTGTTTGGTGTGTATCCTTGCCAGCTTTCTGCCATGTTGCCATGTTGCCATATGTTACATGTATGGGTTAGATATGCACAGTTATATATATTTAACTGTAGACAACTTTTTTCCAGGTTTGTTTTATTGTTATTTTTTTAAGATTTTACTTATTTATTCATGAGAGACACACAGAGAGGCAGAGACACAGGCAGAGGGAGAAGCAGGCTCCCTGCTGCATCCCAGGACCCCAGGGTCACACCCTAAGCCCAAGGCAGACGCTCAACCATGAGCCACCCAGGTGTCCCTATTATTATTATTTTTTGTAATAGCTTCGTTTAGATAGAAGCCACACACCATACAGTTCATTCATTTTGAGTAACAGTTCAGTGATTCATAGTATGTGCACAGAGTTGTACGATCACCGTGTCTGTCTAAGTCTGGAACATGGTGTCTGTTATCATCCCCAAAGAAACCCTGTCCCCGTGAGCAGTTACCTCCCATCCCCATTCTCTAGCCCCTGCCAAAAACGAATCTACTTCCTGCCTGTAGGTATGCCTGCCTGTTCTGGACGTCACACACGTGGACTCACACTGCGGGGCCTCCTGTGTCAGGTTCTCACCGCGTGCTGTGTTTCCAAGGTCCGTCCATGTGTGTGTGCCGGAGCTTCACTTCTTTTTAAGGCTGAATGACAACCCACTGTGGGCAGAGCACCTGCTCACCCGTTGGCGGACATGTGCGTTGCTTCCACCCTTTGGCAAGTCTGAGTCTTGCTGCCATGAGCATTTGTGAACAAGTTTGTGTGGACGTACGTTTTCGTTTCTCTTGGGCAGGTAGCAGGAGTGGAATCTCCGGGTCACGTGTTAACTCTACGACCATGTGAAGAACCGCCAGGCTGTCTTCCCCGGTGCGGGCCCCGTTGTCTGCTCCCGCCCGTGGTGCGCAAGGGGTTCCATCTCTCCCCGTTCTCACCAACCCCTGTTCCTGCCTTTCCGACTCTAGTCATCCTGCCGGGGTTGAGGCGCCGCCTCACTGTGGGTTTGATTTGTATTTGCCCAGTGACTCGTGACGTTGAGCATCTTTTCCGTGTGCCGCTTGGTCATCTGAGTATTGCCTTTGGAGAGGTGGCTATTCTTAAGCGAGCTCTTTATTTGGAAGTGATTTGGAGGCAACGGAAGAGGCGCACGGATGGTGCGTAGAGCCCCTGTGTGCCTTCCCACAGCTCCCCCCAACCTGTGCGTGTGCTCAGGGGGCTTCTCGTTCACCCTCACCCCAAGGCACCTTGTGAGGATTCTTGTGTCCTAATCGCCCTTCCCTAGGAAATTCTTTCTGGGGGGGAGGCTACTATTTTTTTAGGGATTTATTTGTGAATGAATTATAGCCTCCTAAGATGTTGTAGAAATGGGGCAGGCTCCCCAGTACCCATGACCCAGCTTCCCCCATTGGCGGCCCTCACAACAGTGATCAAAGCCAGCACATTGACACTGACCAGAACCCCCATGAAAATGTAATACCACAGGTGCCTTAGTGTGTGGGGTCCGCTGTAACGAAGCCCCGCACGCTGGGCCGCTCACACCACAGGCCTCTGTTCTGTCCCAGCACCGGGAGGCCTGGGATCGAGGTGTTGGCAGGGCCGACATTGCAGAGCCTCCGTCCTTGGTGTTAGACGGCCGTCTTCTCCCCGTGCCCTCACATGGTATGGTCTTCCTGTGCTCCAGTCCTCTTCTGGCTTTTTATTTTTATTTTTTTATTTATTTTTTAAAGGTTTATTTATTTATTTATGATAGAGAGAGAGAGAAAGAGAGAGAGAGGCAGAGACACAGGCAGAGGGAGAAGCAGGCTCCATGCACCGGGAGCCCGATGCGGGACTCGATCCTGGGACTGCAGGATTGCGCCCTGGGCCAAAGGCAGGCGCCAAACCACTGAGCCACCCAGGGATTCCCCACCCCCCCTTTTTTTTTAAAAGCAAGAGTAGTAGGGAGAGGGAGAAGCAGACTCCCCGCTGAGCCAGAAGCCTGAGTGGGGCTGCATCGCAGGACCCCAGGATCATGATCTGAGCTAAAGGCAGATGCTCAACCATCTGAGCCACCCAGGCACCCCCAATCCTCTCTTATAAAGACACTGTTTTTGGGGATCAGGATCCTTTCCTAATGACCTCATTTCGACTTAATTACCTCTTTAAAGACCCTGTCTTGAAATACAGTCAACTTCTGAGGTGAGGGTTGGGACGTGAAGGTATGGATTCAGAGGGGACCAGTGTAGCCGGTACCAACAGATACTTGCCTGTAGACTTATGTTGGAAATGTTGCAGGTTCGGTTCCGGACCACCCACAATAACACGGATCACTTGAATTGTTTGGTTTCCCAGGGCGTATACAAGTTGTGTTTGCACCGTACCGGAGTCCAGTGGGTGTGCAATAGCGTGATGTCTAAGAAAACAATGTACATACCTTAATTTAAGAATACCTTATTGCTAGTAAACGCTAACCATCATCTGAGCCATCACCGGTCAGAATCACTGATCACAGATCTTGGGAACAACTACAGTCATGAGTTTGTGAGATTCACCACCATGTGACACAGAGACACGAAGTGAGCAAAGGCCAAGGGAAAAGTGGCCCCGTCAGGGTCAGCGCATTCTGTGTGAAGCGCAGTAACACGAGGCGTGCGCGTGTCCTCTCTGTGCCGGATATGCGTCTGTGCTTCATGCATTAAAAGGATATTTTTTCGGACCTCCCCGGCCCGCGGTACCTCAGGGTTAACACCGCCTTACCCCTTACCAGGAACGCTTCCCCTAGGGTTGTCCACACCTCCTTGTGGAGCATAGATCATGGTCAAGATGCAACCGGAGCGGCGGCCCCGGGGTGGAGGTGGGGGTGCGGGGGCAGCACCAGGGCCTGGTTCAGCAAGATGAGCCAGTAATTGTGTGTTGTACCCATAAAACATGTCACGATAAATCTCATGTGAAGGGTCCCTGCCACACGCAATTAAAAACAAAAGCCAACCAAGCAAGACATTAACGCTGGTTCTGTTCTGTTAACTAGACCGCAGACTTTTTTTCAGATTTCACCAGATTTCCCACCAACATCTTCCTTCTGGCCCGGGAACCCCATCCAGGTCCCACATGACGTCTTTTCACCTCGCCTTGTCTTCTTGGGCTCCTCCAGCCTGTGATCCTTTCTCACTCTTTCCTCATCTTTTCTGACATGGACGCTTCTGGGGAGCCCTGGCCAGGTGTTTGTAGAAGAAGGTCCCCTGGGTTGATGTTTTCTCACGATTGCACCGGGGTTATGGCTTTGGGGGAAGGCACCCCAGAGGGGTCATGTCCCATCAGGGGATATCTGATGTCCACTCCATGTCACCGGTGACCCTGACCTTGGTCACGTGGCCCGCTGGGGTCTCCCAGGCTTCTCCAGCAGTGAAGTTAACCCCTCTCCCTTTATCTGCCCTGTTTGCTGGAAGCAGGTCACTAAGTCGACCCCGTGGAAAGCAGGGTTGGGGCAGGGAAGCACCACCTCCTGGAGGAGGAGCCTGGAAGGACCCACGGATGCCTTAAGGCGCGATGGTAATTAAGGAATATTTTGGAAGCAAGGCTTTGAGGCTTCGCCAGTGTCCCGCCTCCCCTCGGGGTCTCCCCAGTAGCTGGGTGCGCATCGGCGGGTCTCGGCTGCGGGAGTGGTTACTGGGCTGTCCCCGTGGTGGTTTCCTGTTGATGGGGGTGGTGGCAATAATTTGACATTTTCATCCAGGAATCCCCGTCAAGCCCATCACGAGTGTCCCGTGAACGGCCCCCACTCATTCCTCAGGATTGTGCGTGAGAGTCTGCTGCTTGCAAGGGGCTTCATGTGCATGCCACGGTGGCTCACGTGTGGTGGGGACGGGGCAGGACTGCTTCAGGACGTCCCTACGGAGGGCCAGAGCGCGACGGTCATTAGGGCGCTCCCAGCAGAGTCTGTCCGGGGCCTGTGGCGGGAGGGGCCTGAGGGGTGCTGGGCCCCATCCCTGATGCAGCCTGGACTAGGGGGCTGTAGCCAGTGAGCAGGAGGGGGTAAGCGGGTGGCACTTGCCGAGGGGACATGGCGGAGGGGACTCTGGCTAACCGGACCCGGTGGGATGGCAGCAGCAGCAGGCAGGCCGCCCGGCCGGCGGATGGGGAAACCAGCCGGGTGTCGGGGCCATCAGACACCGGGCAGGGGCTCTTGCTAAAACTAGGGGAGGCGGAACTGAACTCAGAACCCCGAGGTCACGGCCCAGTGGCCTAGCTAACGTTTGTCGGGGAGCGGGTCCTGGGGGCCCCGGGGAAGGGCCAGAATCAGCTCTTTCCCTGGAGGGCGGGAGCCCCGCGGCTGCGTGCAGAGCGCACAGGCCCCCCTGGCTCCTTCCTGCCGCACAGCGGGGGCATCTGCTGGAAGCTTCCAGGGGGAGCGAGGGGGCCACCAGGGAGCCGGCCGGGCTGTGGGAAGGCAGAAGTGAATCTGAGACGTGCCAGGGCTGGGGGCGCCTGGGGGCGTCTGAACTGAGCCCTCCAGAGTTCGAGTCCAGGTGGTTCTACTGGGCTGAATGGGGCCCCCGCAAAATTCATGTCCACCCGGAACCTTAGGATGTCAGCTTCCTGGGCCGCCTGGGGGCTCCTTCGGCTCAGGTCCTGTCCTGGGGTCCTGAGGTCGAGCCCCGGTTGGGTTCCCTGCTCAGTGGGGGGAGTCTGCTTCCCCCTCCGCCCTTCACCCCACTCATGCTGCGCCCTTGCTCTCTTTCTCTGAAATAAATAAATAAATAAATAAATAAATAAATAAATAAATAAAATAAATAAATAAATAAAATAAATAAAATAAATAAAATAAAATAAATCTAGAATGTGAGCTGGTGCCCCCCCTTACCTTCCCGGACCTTCGGTCTCTGTCCCTGTGTGGGTTAGGGAGCCATTAAGGCCCGTGGCCTCTGTCCTGGCTCCTGCTGACCTCACTCCGTGTTGGGGACCCCTGGATGGTTGCAGAGGTTTCCAGGTCAGGATTTGGGGACTGGGGACAGCCCTGGGCCTGGGCCTCACGGCCCCTTTTCTTCCCACAGCCCTGCCTGCCCTGGAACCTGCTTTCCCAAGAGAAGAGGATGGCTGCTGGGTACCTGCCCCCCTGGCCCCAGGTGAGTGGGGACCTCTCTCCCTGAAGATGCCTGGTGTGTCCAGAGGAAACACTCCTGCCACAACTGTGTTCCTTGGCTCTGTGGGAAACGAGGGAGCGTTGCCCGTGAGCATCAGGGTCTAAGCACCCCTGCTTCTTGCAAGTGTGCGGAGAGGCGTGCGCTGTGTTGAGCACACCTTCCCTGCCAGAGAGCTGTGCTTCCTTCCTGGGCTGGGAGCCCTGCTGTGTGGCCTGAACATCCCACGTCCCCCATGGCGGGAGGAGCTACACAGGAAAGCACCATCCTTGTGACCTGGAAATCATCCTTTAAATTGTGGTAAACTACACACAACCTAACATTCACCACCTTAACCCTCTCTAAGTGCATAGCTCAGGGCATGGAGCACACTCACCCCGACGTGCACTGCCCCCCACCATCTCCAGAACCTTCTACCTCCCCACATGGAGATGCCATCCCCAGGAAGCACTGACCCCCCCCCCTGCCCCCCCCCTGGCTCCCACCACCTCCTCTCTGTCTCTGTGGACAGAGGCCTCCTCTGGGGACCTCCTGGGAGGGGGGTCCTACAGGAGGTGTCCTTCTGGGCCTGGGTCCCCTCCCTGAGCCCGGTGTCCTAGGGGTCTGTCCACGTGGGGGCAGGTGTCAGGGTCCCTTCCTTCCTGGGGCTGGGTCAGCCTTTTCAAGCCTGGGGACAGCCGCATTTGATGTGAAGTTGCCTTACGGGGCACGAGCATCAGGAGAGAGGTGGGGAGCAGAGGCCAGCATCGGCTTGGACAGCAGATCTGTGAGGAGCAGTGGCCAGGGGCCTGGTCCCCTCACTCACACTTGGCTTGGGCCGCAGCCACAGGTTTGGGAATGTGGTCAGTGTCTGCATCACAAATCCAGAGCTGACAACAGCTCGGGTTCAGGTGGTCCCTGGGAGAACGAGCCCTATCCTGTGGACATTTGTGAGTGACCCAGATAGTCCTGGTCGGGGCCCCATGGCGGGGTCCTCGATCTGCTCTGGCCCCTGCAGGGAAGTCCTGGTCATCACAGGCACATGTACTTTCAGGCCAGCAGGGTGCGTCCTGGGGCCGACACAGCCAGGGGCCACTGTCAGGGGCCACTGGGAGGTCCGGCCCCAAACGAGCCAGCGGCTTGTCCCTCGGCAGCAGCAAAGCTGAGGTGCCACAGGGCCCGGCAGTGGCCCTGCCTGTCTGGTGCGCCCTGGCGGGCCCATAAGTGGAGCCACTCAGACCTAGGCGGTCGATGGGGCGGTCATCGTCTCTCCAGGCCACACAGGATCACCCCACCCCCACCCCCCACCCCCAGCAGCTCAGGCCCACATCTTTAAATCCCAACAGCATTTCTCCATGTGGGGACTGCCTCTCTCCACACTGGTCTCCGAAATGTGGAAGTCACAAAAATCATGAGTCATGGAGACTTGTTCTGTTTTTAGTGTTTAGGGAGTTTACGTTTTAATCTGCCCACCAGGCAGCAAAGAGCAAAGAACGTGTGTCCCACTGAGACTTCTTCCCAGCCTTCCCCGACTGAGATGATCCCTTATGGAGTGCCAGTAATCGATTTATATATTATAATCGATAAATATATTATTATATTTAACAGGAAGTGATATCTCATGCTAATTTTTAATTGTGCTTCTAGAGGTAATAGCCACGAAGTTCAAAGCCATTACAATTGTTTTCCTTTTTACTTAATTGCAGATCTGCCCAGAGCCTTGCAGTGAGTCCGGCAGTTGCAGGGTTACCCTAGGGCCGCCTGAGAGGAAGGCAGCGGGAATGGGTGTGTGCGGGGGGTGTTGCAGCAGCTGCTGCTAGCCTGGAAAAAAGCCTGTTTTTTTCCCCCACTTTATCTACAAATTTTATTTTATTTTATTTTTTATTTTTATTTATTAGTCAGAGAGAGAGAGAGAGAGAGAGAGAGGCAGGCAGAGACACAGGCAGAGGGAGAAGCAGGCTCCATGCACCAGGAGCCCAACGTGGGATTCGATCCCGGGTCTCCAGGATCGCACCCTGGGCCAAAGGCAGGTGCCAAACTGCTGCGCCACCCAGGGATCCCTATCTACAAATTTTAAAAAAGATTTTATTTATGTATTTTAAGGAGAGAGAGAGAGGGTGTGTGAGCAGGGGAGGAACACAGGGAGAGGGAGATGGTCTCCGGCAAACTTCACGCTGCGTGCAGAGCCCACCGTGGGGCCTGATCGCACAACCCCGAGATCCTCGGGCTGAGCCCAGATCTGGAGCTGGACACTTGACCGACTGAGCCACCTAGGTGCCTCCACTTTATCTAAACTTTTGTGGCTGCCCTGGGTACTAACTTTCTTCTTCTGGGTGGGAGAAACACAAAGGTTTAATACTGAAGCACCTGCCTTCAGCTCAGGTCATGATCTCGGGGTCCTAGGATTGATCCCGCGTCATCAGGCCCCCTGCTCAGCGGGGAGCCTGCTTCTCCCTCTCCCTCTGCTCCTCCCCCCTGCTTGTGCTTGCTTATATTAAATAAATAATAAAAACAAAATCTTAAAAAAAAAAGAGATAGAGAAACATTTAATAAAATCTGAAATCTGTCCCACCCCAAAGCTTCCCTTTGGGAATGTTTGAGCCCTTTCTTCTCCCACCTGGAGGAGACAAGACACCAAAGCATCACCAGAACTGTGGGGTTTTATTGTTGTTGTTGTTGTTTGTTTCTTGTTTTTTTGTTTTTGTTTTTAATAAACCAAACCAAAAACCTCAACTTCATCCAGAATGGCCCAAAACCACCCAGTGGGTCGGGCAGGCCACTTGCCAGGGGCCTGAGCCATCATTCACAGTCCACAGGTAACTTCGAGCTCTTAGGACAGACTGTGGCCTCGCTGCTGGTGCCAACCAGGGGTGCTGCTCTGGCCCGCCAGGCGCTGCCCAGTCGCCATCCTCCACCCCATGCCCTTCCCCTCCAGGAACCGTCTGGGCTTTCGCCACGTTTCAGCGAGTCAGGTGCGGGGCGGCACATCCTGCTTCTCACTCCGTCTGCGCCGTGCAGCGTGCAGCCCCAACTCATGGCTGCAAAGACAACCCGCGTCTGCCAACCTCGGGTTTGGGGTGCGGGTCTCCTTGGTCCTACAGATGACAAGGATAGCTTCTGGGCTCTCTGACCGTGTGAAGAGCAGATGCCGTGATGTAGGGAAGCCATGCAGCCTTCGCTCAGTCCCATGAGGTTGAACTTGTTCTTTCCATCGAGGAGATGGGGAGGCTGCATCCTGGAAGTCGGTAGTAGACACACGGTCCCGTGACCGTGGACTTGCATGGCTGCAAGCGACCTTTTTGTGGAATAAGCAGGGGGAGAGTCTCGAGTGGGAATGTAGTGGTCCTAGATCCAAAAGATAGACTTACCAGTTCAGTAAGAAGTGGGCCATGTGGGGGCACCTGGGTGGCTCAGTGGTTGAGCGTCTGCCTTTGGCTCAGGTTGTGACCCCGGGGTCCCGGGATTGAATCCCGCATCGGGCCCCCTGCAGGGAGCCTTCTCCTCCCTCTGCCTGTGTCTCTGCCTTTCTCTCTGTGTGGCTCATGAATAAATAAATAAAATCTTAAAAAAAAATGGGCCACATGTTCCCTTCGGACCTGGTGCTGGCGGGATCGAACCTCTGGGCTGTGCCCCCCCCGCCCCCCGGTCTGTGTGGACGTCCTGTGCCCTCCACCCCCAGCCCTCCTCCTGTACATGTGCATGGAGGTGGGCCTTTCCTGAGCAGAGTCCATGTGATATTTTAGGAGTTTGTAACCTTTGAGGATGTGGCTGTGGACTTCTCCCGGGAGGAGTGGGAGATGCTGGACCCTGCTCAGAGGAGGCTGTACAGAGAGGTGATGCTGGAGACCTGCCGGAACCTGGCCGCACTGGGTAAGACCCGCACCACGCCTTCACCTGCGTGTCAGTTCACACTCACTGTGCATCCACATCATGTCGAGAGCCAGGGTAGGAAGTGGGGGTTTGTGGGTGAATATAGTGGCCGTGGCTCCTGCCCTTGTGAGGCTTGTGGTCCACTGGCTTCTTCAACACTAAGATTTGGATGGAAATATTTATCTGCTTATCTGTAGATGGACACTGGGTTGTTTTGATTTTTTGGCTGCTGTGAACTAGGGTGTGTGAACAGCACTTTGGGTCTCTGCTTTCAGGCCTCTTGGGTCCATACCCGGGAGTGGAATTGTGAGGTCAGACGGTGCTTCTTTGTTTACCTTTTTGAGGAGCAACCAAAATGCACAGCACCATTTTACCAGCTGTGTGCACAGATTCTGATTTCTCCATATCCTAATATCTATCTTCTATTTTTGCTTTTTTAAATTATAGCCATCCTAATAGGTATGAAGTGGTGTCTCACTGTGGTTTTGATTTGCATTTTCCTGGTGGCTAATGATGTTGAGCATGTTTTCACGTGTCTGCTGGCCATTTGTAGATCTTTCTGGGAGAAATGTAAGATCCACAAGGTTTTAATTAGGAGCATAAAATCTCCAGCATGGTCATCAGGCCACCTCCCCAGTGTACTCTTGTCCCCTTCAGATGCCTTGAAGAATCAACGTGCCAATATGGGCATTGAGGATGGTACACTCTCCCCAACCCCAGCCTCTCAGGCCACCGGTCCTTCTTCATGGGCAGGGTGTTCGCTTTTGCTGCCAGGGGCGGCTTTCCACTTGGAGCAAGGAGAAGCCATGTGGACGGGGGGAGAAGGAGCTCCCCAAACCTGCTCAGGTGAGAGCCAGGCAGATACGAGCCATTGAGTAGGGAGGGGCATCTTGGGGGCTGCAGGTCAGAGATCTCTCCACAGAGGCCCGAACTCTGTAAGGAGAAGGTCGAGGTGTTTGGTTGCACTTTCTCAGACACCTTTGGTTCATTCTCCAGCAACCTTGCCCTATGCACTAGCTTGTACCACTTTGGGTGCAGAGAAAAGATATCCCATTTCTTTCTTGAAGCTGTTATGCCTGTTTCTTGTTCTGTCTCTTCCCTCTCTGCTTCCTTGATCATTCTTTCTCTCTGCCATTTCCATTCTTCCTCCTTTGTGCAGCCATTCCTTCTACATTTCCATTGCCCCCCCATTTTTCATCACTGTCCAACTTCTTACACTGCTTCTTGTCCTCGGGATCTTTCCCTGTTCCCCCCGTGTGGAGTGCTGATATTTGAACATGAGTCCACACGTACCTTGTGTATGTTGGAAGTACTTTTGTCCCACTATTATTAAGTTAGAAGTTTCTTCTTTCCGCCCCGCTCCCCATTTATTTCAGATTTGGAGACGAGTCTGAAAAGCCAAGAGTCAATTTATAGGAAGGTGGTTTTGGAGGAAGAACCACTCCGTGGTATGAATATCATAAAGCTTCCCAAAGAAGACTGGGATGTGGTCAACTTGAGGAGAGACATGAAGACCCGCACAGGCTTTTGAGGCAAATGGCATTCACTCAAGTAGAGACATTGGCTCAAAAGGAGACCACTGCCTGGCATGAGTTTGGGGACCCCTGTAGTATGAACTCAGACCTTGCTTTATCACAAGGGGATTCTCTAGGAAAGCATTTCCTTGACTGTGATCTTAACATTGAGAGTTTGGTAGCTGATCCATTCTTAAAACATCATCAGATGGGATATACAGACCAGAGGCCCTGTAAAGGGAATGAATATGCAAAAGATGTCAGCCAAAATAGTCCTCTTACTCAGCACAAAAGAACCGGAACTTGTACATATGCAGAAGGTGGGGAGTCATTTAATCATGGCATGGCTCTTACAACACACAACACAATTAATACAGTGGGGAAATCCTATGAATGTTACCAGTGCGGGAAAGTGTTTAATCGGAGGCATTCCCTGAGTGAGCATCAGAGAATACATACAGGAGAGAGACCATATGAATGTCAGGAATGTGGGAGAGCCTTCACGCACAGCTCAACCCTCACGCGGCACTTGAGAACTCATACTGGAGAGAAACCCTATGCGTGCAGTGATTGTGGGAAGGCCTTCAATAGGATATCATCTCTTACCCAACACCAGAGGATTCACACAGGCGAAAAGCCCTATAAATGCAAAGACTGTGGAAAATCCTTCTGCCAGAGTTCTTACCTGATCTTGCACAAGAGAACGCATACTGGCGAGAAGCCTTACGAATGTAACGAATGTGGAAAGGCCTTCAGTGATCGCTCCTCACTTAACCAACACGAGCGAACTCACACTGGCGAGAACCCCTATGAATGTAATCAATGTGGAAGAGCCTTCAGCCAGAGGTCTTCCCTCGTTCGGCACGAGAGAACTCACACTGGAGAGAAACCGTATAGCTGTAATGAATGTGGGAAAGCATTCAGCCAGAGCTCATCCCTTATTACCCATCAGAAAACTCACACTAGTCAAAAAACCTATAAAATAATTGATTGTGGGAAAGCTTTCTATCAGAGCAGCCACCTTATTGGATTTTAGATATTGCTTGCTGCTCTGAAGTACATAAGTATGGCTAGAGTTTGCCCTTTGGATGTACTATCTATTTTTAAAGATTTTATTTATTTATTCATGAGCGACACAGAGAGAAGCAGAGACACAGGCAGAGGGAGAAGCAGGCTCCACGCAGGGAGCCCGATGTGGGACTCGATCCCGGGACTCCAGGATCACACCCTGGGCTGAAGGCAGGCGCTAAACCGCTGAGCCACCCAGGGATCCCCCATACTATTTGAAAAGAAGTAGGTGTATGTTATATTCTTGAGGTCCAGATCTGAGAAGGGACCTTTTAATGGAGGAAATTGCCATTGAGCTCTGCCCAAGGCCTGCCCTTTTGGAAAAGATTAATAAATGTGAACACTAGCATGGAATGGGATATTGCTAAGAATTGTCACATTAATTTAGTTGTTGAAACAAAAGGTGTTCTGTTTCAACCTTTTGTTTCAAAATTCAGTATTTTTGTTTCAGTCATCTGTTTCAGTATTTTACTTAGTCATACTGCCCCTATTGGCGACTTAGCTAGGTCCTAACCTGTGTTGTGCCCTGCTGTGGCAATGCAGAATGTATGCTAACACAGAAAGAGCTTTGGGTGCAAAGTGGAAAATAAAGAGTGCAAAATAGTATATGTGATTCTATCCAGTGGAGTCCAAATATGTACATAAGTGGACAAAGGCCGGACAGAGATGTGGAGGGATGAAGAGAGTTTATTTGTCAGAGTTATCTGATTATGTGTGATTTTCTGCCTTTTGCCATTTTGTTTGGTATTGCTGTAATCATTTTGGCAATCAGTAGAAATCGGACAACCCCAAAGTCTACCAAATTCCTTTGAGTGGTCGGGGAGGATTGTGGACGACAAGATGGGAAGGCTATAGTGCAGTAGGTGTTGGGACAGGGAGAAGTGTAGCAGCCTTTGGTGGCCTGGGAAAAGTCCGAACACTGCGGTGGACTTGCCAGAGTGGACACCAAGAACTCAGATGCACATCATCACCATCAACATCAACAGATTTTATTGGTTGCTTGCTCTATTTCCAGCATCACTCTAGCACTTTTATGTGGTTTCTCATTTAATCTGAACAACCCCATGAGTAGTAGCTCTTCACATCCCTGTGTCACTGAAGGGGAAACAGAAATAAAGTAACTTGTCCAAAGTCAGACAACTAGAAAGTGGCAGAGCCAGGATTTGAACTTGAACAACCTGTGTAAGGCGCATGCCGCATTTGGGTGCAGGGGAGCTGTGTTTTCTAAATTCTCCCTTGGAACTCATCTGACTTTCCTCTAAATCCATCTCTCTGGAGCTGATGAGGATGGTTGCCTGTCAGAGTGCCTTTCACCTAAGTGGTACCCGGTCGCATCGGTGTTGTTGCCTTTCTCTTAAAGTAGAGATCCCTTGGGACACCTGGGTGGCTTAATGTTAGAGCATCTGCCTTTGGTCCAGGGCATGATCCTGAGGTCTGGGGATCGAGTCCCACATTGGGCTCCCTCCAAGGAGCCTGCTTCTCCCTCCCTGCCCGTCTCTGTGTGTCTCTCATAAATAAATAGATAGATAGATAGATAGATAGATAGATAGATAGATAGATAGATAAAATCTTTAAAAAAATGTAGAGTTACTTCATCTGGGGTCCATGTAGACCCTACAGGGCTGATGGATGTTTCTTTAAGGGCTCTGTGAACAGTCTTGAGTTGGAAGCAGAATGTGTTGGGGGAATAGTGTGCTATCTGGGGAAGCGTCCACAGCTTTTGTCACATTCTGAGAACTAGCTGACATAGGGGTGCTGTGAGTGCACTGGTCTTCAGTCTTTTTTTTTTTTAACTCTTGACTTTATTTTTTTTTAATTTTTATTTATTTATGATAGTCATACACACACACAGAGAGAGAGAGAGAGGCAGAGACACAGGCAGAGGGAGAAGCAGGCTCCATGCACCGGAAGCCCGACGTGGGATTCGATCCCGGGTCTCCAGGATCACGCCCTGGGCCAAAGGCAGGCGCCAAACTGCTGCGCCACCCAGGGATCCCTGGTCTTCAGTCTTGATCCTTTGCTTCCTCCAACAATTATTTCTTGTGCCAGGTGGCTATGCATAAGGCAGATGAGGTGGCTACTCTCCCTGAACCTCTCTCCCAGTAGTGTGGAAGCAGGATGCCGTCGTGGGTTGAGTCATATGCAGTCACCCGAGTGTGTTTCTCAGAGAGGTTCTGCAATTGGTTGAACGCTCCACTATATGGATATCTTGATATTCTTAATAATTTTAAACAAAGGATCCCCCCAACTACATTTTCATTTTGCAGTGAGCCCTGCTCGTTGTGTAGCCAGACCCATGATGGAGTGAGGGGTAGGGATAGGCATTAAACACCTAACCAAATGCTTTAATTAAGTAATTACAGATTTTGCTCTGTGGTAGGTAACATAAGAGGGACCAACCTCAGAGGCTTTCCGAGAACCTGATATTTAATTTGAGATGTGAGCCATTGGAGCATCCGAGGTGAGGATTTAACCAGAGGAGAGCTTCAGTTTAGCTTTGTTTTCACATATTTAAAAAAATGTTGGGGCACCTGGTGGCTCAGTCAGTTAAGCATCTGCCTTCAGCTCAGGTGACGATCACGATCACGGGGTCCTGGGATTGAGTCCTGTGTCAGCCTCCCTGCTCAGTGAGGAGTCTGCTTCTCCCTCTTCCCCTCCCCTCTCAAATGAATAAATAAAATATTAAAAAAATATTTACAAGCTGTCTGGCTGGCCCATGGGTAGAGTGTGCGACTCCTGATCACAGGATCGTGAGTTCAAGCCCCATGTTGGGTGTGGAACCTACTTAAAAAAAATATTTACAACGTTTGTTTTGATTTCTCTGACTTAAAAGTATTTTGAGAGAGAATATATATATGTATTTAACTTCTGGTTGTTTAAATACCATTCTCTCTCTTTAAAAACAAATTCATTTTCTTGTCTGATGGCAGTGGCTCAGTCCTGCAGTACAAGCGTTGGCAGAACTGTTGAGAACAGACCTCATTGTTTTGCTCCAGATCATAGGGGAAAGCATTCAGTCTTTCACCACAGAGTATGATGTTTTCTGGGGCTTTCTGTAGATTTCCGTCATCTTTATTAAATTTCTGCCTTTTTTATGCTGTGGTCCGAGGATGCGTCTACTGTCTTGAATCTTTGAGCCGTGTTGAGTTTACTGTGTGGTGTACAACATGATGGAGTTTTAGGGGTGTTCTCTAGCTATTGAGGAGAAGCTGTATTCTCTTTTTATGCTTTGGACTCTGGCTTGTCTGTTATATCAATCTTATTAATCATTGGCTCTCGAATTTCATGTCAGGAGGTTCAGATTTAACAAGTGAGAGTTGGTGCTCAGTAACATGCATTTTTAATAAGCACACCACGTGATTTCGCAGATGTTCCCTCTTTCAGTTGTACTTTGAGAAACTTAACTGTACTGAGATTGTTGATTCAAAGATAATCAGCTCAAAAAGATTAAGTTACAGTTTCCTACTGCTATCCTTCTTACTTCCTCTCTGTATTTTCCATTGTTTTCTATTTCTTTTATTTGGGGTAAATAATTCATGACAGGTCTTCATTGTGAATTAAACTCTTTATCATTCTGAAGTGACTCTCTGTCTGCTTTGAATAATAGCACCCCTTCTGCTTTTTCAACACAACTAATCTGTTTGATTTTGGTATAATTTTTCACCTTCTTTGAATTTCAACTTTTTGGATTCCTCGTGTCTCTTACTTTTAATACATACATAGTTGGATTTTGTCTTAGGATTCAAAGTGGAAAATCTGTTTTTATTTATTTTTTTTTAATTTTATTTATTTATGATAGGCACACAGTGAGAGAGAGAGGCAGAGACACAGGCAGAGGGAGAAGCAGGCTCCATGCACCGAGAGCCCGACGTGGGACTCGATCCCGGGTCTTCAGGATCGCTCCCTGGGCCAAAGGCAGGCGCTAAACCGCTGTGCCACCCAGGGATCCCCTGGAAAATCTGTTTTTAAAAGACACATTTATGCCAGTTATTGCTGTGGGAAGTGTTGTTGGCTTTTTTTTTTTTATTTATTTAT